ATAGGCTTTGAGAGTTGACAGTTCGATAGAGGGGTCGATTCTTTGCGATAATATCGCCGTTTCTTATTTCGTAGCTATTTTCTGGTATTCTTTTAGTCTTTTCGTGGTCTTGGAAGAGCTTAAAGAGCTGAAATACTCATTTGAAATGGCGACTCGAGGAGAATGATCGTACCGGCAAGCTATGGGCGCACAAACAACTACGGGGGGATGCTCGCGTCGCCTGTCGATGCGATCCCCTTCGCGTGCAATTACTTGAGAAACAATTACGGTGCTTCCTTTCGCGTTATTGGCGTTCCAGTGACTGCGGGTCGTCGGTCAGCAATCGACGGCCTCGGACTATCTCTGTGCGCTGATCCGGCTATCGCTAATGGTCAATGGTGATCGGAGTGTGATACGCGTCGCTGTTCCGTCCTCGAGAACCTATCCGATCATAACCCTTGAACTTTTAGTTTCGGCTTCAATGTCATCTGTCGTTCGAACAGGGAACATTGGGCTAAAATTGTTGTTATCGAGATTCAGCGTTTGGTTAAGTGTATTCGTCGAAAGTTACGTATTTGGAAAGACAAGTCGCTCGACAAGATTCGGACCAATCAACGTCACTCGCGCAACGCCGTTGTATTTGCATAACAGTGGAAAAGCCAGAACAGATTCGTTCGTAGAACAACGGCCGTGAATGGGGTCACGAGTGCCCGACGGAAGTTGCGCAACCCAGGTAATCCTCCGAAGAATGCTGCGGTATCGCCGGCCAATACTTTTTGCCATGCACCCCCCTGCAACGGCAATCTCCTTTCTCGTATCGTTACGCGAGAATGGTGTTTGAAAACTAATGCTAAAAAAAGTAAAGCAGAGAAAGAGAGAATCGGCCTTCGTTTTTATTTCTCGTTCATTTTACATTTTTCATTTTTCATTTCTTACTTTCTATTTTTTGTTTCTTATTTTCGTGTTTTGATCGTTGTGTGTTTGCACTATGACGAGGGAGGACAAAACTAGAAACCTTTGTGCGCATTCATTCGGCGACGGTCACGCCACCGCCCTCTTCTCGGTCCCTTTATTCGACGACAAGGGTAACACCGGTGGGAGAGATGGGTTTTGAACTGGTCGAACCCTTCGACCTTCCGAACTGCGATCACGAGATGCTAATAACGTAATTGGAAACACTGTAGGTTCGTTCGTCGAGAGAAACAGTTCGAATAGATGTTTAAACCGCAGATCAGGCGACAGAGTATAAACGCGGGATATCGATTTGAAAAAGTGACATTATTCGCGTGGTTACTCGAGAAAATGACACCGTTTCGTTTCATATCGAGCATAATAACGTACAGTGTACGGTCGTTTCACGATCTTCGTACCGGAAGGAAGATCTTAACGATGGCGTGACAGCTGTCATCGAAGACCGCTCGAGGAAACTTTTCTCTCCTCCTCTTTCTTCTGGCAATCCTTGGCTCGGCTCTCGACCGTGAGGATCTCCCGCGCAATTTGCCAATTTTATGCACACTTCGCGAATAATGATCGAAAGTGGAACACGTGACCGCGGCTCGAGCATTGTTCGCCGGGCGACAATGGAATCGGATGTTTTGTTGGGGATAATAGAGCGCGTGGCCCGCACGCTAATGAAAGGGTTGCACCTTTGAATACATCGAACGCGTATACGCGGCTCTATCTAGGGCTCAGCTGTGCTCGGACGGTCCTAATCGCATTCGGAAGACTCGTACCACCATTCGAATCGAAGGGTACCTCTCTTTTGTCGATTATTCTAGCGAACTTGTCGAAAACTGACGCGTATCGGCAAACTGTTTGGCCAGTGGAAAACAAAAGCTTTCACGCCCCCCAGCCTGTTACGAGATCGGAAAGAGAAAAGAAATGTCACGAGAGCGAGCGAATTGGAGCAACATTCTGTTCATTTCCACTGCTCTTTCACGAGTGTTGCAATTTTTCTCGCAGAATTGTTTCAGTAAATTACGAGGGAACCGACCATTCTATTACAGTTGAAACATTTTATTAGCTATTTGAAATATTTACGCCGCGCATAAACTTTTACAGTCTATCAATCACATTTAAGTTCAAAGTATTTACACTGGTACACGCGTGTCAAATCTGTAATGCATCGTAACGGTTGACAAGCAGTCGTAACATGGAGTATACCTCATAGAAATAGAATAAAATCGAGAACACTGTACCAGCATCGCGCCCCTCGCAAATCATTCGAAGACTGGGACGCGCCGCAAGAACAGAAAGTTGAACGAGCAAGTCGAATCAACCAATATCATCGTCATGATTGCAACAGGAAAGTTCGTCGACAATGCTAATGGTAACGGTAATGGTAATGGTAATGGTAATGGTAACATAGCATTTCCAGTCTGTTAGCGTTTCGCGAGTCCGATCGCGAGTCGTTTCAAGGTCCCTCGGCTCTCTGTTTCGCGACACGGGGATGACGAGATACGAATCCACGATCTCGGCTTTTATAAAGGCGGCGATAGGGAGGTGACCGTCGAGTGATACTTTCGACAAGGCAAACCACTGAAATAGATGGAAGATACCCCGGGCGGACGTCACCGTTGACGCTCGTTTCTAACCGGTCCCGCCTTCCGCGACCGTCCCCGCTTTGCGTTCCCGCCGATCCCGAGACCGATCGATCGAACCGGCAACGAGCGATCGAGTATCCCACTCGATCGACCGTGATTCCTCGTTACCCGGCCGTTTATCGTCCGCCGCGGAGTCGTTGATAAACGACGATCGTTCGCGCGCCCGCGCGTTCGCGCCGCGCCAATTTTTCATCTCGCTCTCTCACTGTCCCGACGCGACGGAGTACGCGACTGGCTTCTTCAACGAGGAAATCGAAGGAATTCGCGGAACCCGTCGACAGAAATAGTTGATTCAGTAGTAACTCAACTTCATTCACTCGCTTCATTCAAACACCGTTCAAATTACCGAACAGACGGCCGTGGGAACTTTCAACTTTCCTAGATAATAATTATGAAAATGGACCTTTCTATTATTCAAGGTGCAAAACCAAGAAGAAGCAGACGCGTAAAGATACGTTTACAGTTGTGTAAAGATATCCAACGGTTTCCGTCTAGAAGCACTTTAAGAAAAATCAATGTTTTCTTCTCCTAGTTGAAATATGACAAAAGACTGGAAGCAAATCGAGTTGACGCGATAATAGGACGATTCTTCGAAGAGCGGGTAGGTAGAGAGAGAGAGAGAGAGAAAAAGTCGAGGTGAAACGTATCGTTTCCAGTGTAAACGAGCCGAAATTTAGCAATACGGAAGAGATTTATGGTGTTGACGGATAGCTGCGACTGAGTCATCCGCAAATAGAAGTCGGGCTAGGCGAGAAAACTGTCCAATAAATTGGGTATTTGCGAAGGATCGCGGCGAACTAAAATCTCCCGGAGTTCTCGTATTTGATTGGACAGGAAAATTCGCAAATCTTCTCCGAATATCGGTTGGAAGTTCGAGTACTGTTCCTTGGGTGAAACATCGATAAAAATAGTTAAATTATATATTCTGTAGATACTCGGATAGTTGGCGAGTACTTTAACGAAATGCGAAACGAAATTTCGAAGAAACCGATTCACCGGGATCTCCGACGCGTCGCGATTTCCGCGGTCGAACGCGATACGGGGCCGAGACAATTAAAACCGAAACGACGGTATTAGCAGCCACGGAAACGATATAATCACGTGACGTAAGTGGGAGTGCGTTGAATTACGCACGGCCCAGAAATTATACGAGCGAGTGGCCGGCTAACGAGCGTAGCCTCGGGTAGGCCGTTCACACCGATCGTTCGTCGCTTCGTGGATCAACGGTTACCGATACCTTTGCCCGATTCCCTTTAATCCTGCACAAATTTCTCGATCGATCGCTTCCGATTTTCAGTGTAGACATTTTACCGACCGATCGATCGTCTATCGACAACACAATTGGAACATTAGAACATTAGACGATACAGAGAATTTCCATGATACAGAGCTTTACACGATGACAGTTTTGCCGATCGAATCGATGCGTACTGCTTTTAGCCAGTTTCTTTGGTTTCCAGTGTTTGTGTGTGTGTGTGTGTGTGTTGCATTCTTAATAAGTCTTCGAATACGAGAGGACGATACGATCGGATGCAAACAAAGGATCGAGAGAAATGTGTCGGAAGACGGTCGTGATAATTTTCATGTTAAAACATGCCGATACTATCTGCAACGACTGTATTGTTTCGAACTTGACCTGGTATGCCTATGCTAAGCGTTATTAGCCAAGCATTGCTTTTACCGACACGGCTGCGCCAGCAAACTAAATAGAAAGCACGTATGAATATCCGTCGCGAGCGCATAGTCCGAATCGAGGAGACTTCGAACGCGGAATACCGGATGGAATTGAGAAAAAGTGCCGTGTCAACGAAGAAGGAACGATTTTGGTCGATGGAGCGCGCGACTCGCGTGCCCCTCGTCGGTTATCGCGGGCAGACACGGCTTTCTGGCTTCGTTTCCACGATAAGTTCGTATCTTAATACTGCTCTAGCGCGCAATTATTTATGTCCCCCTTAAATAAGATTGCGTATCGGAACGTAAGGCGTTCGTAAGTACGAGAGACGCCGCGTATTGTATTCGACCGGCTGTATATCCGGTTTCTACGTGGAAAATCTCATCTCCCAGGCCGTCCTCCTAGGGAGACCTCTCTCTTTTCGGGATCCTCGAACAGATCGTGTTCCTAGAACAACGAGGACGCGACTCGAAACATTCGTTTATTGTCGTAGGTTTACCGCATGCTGTTTCTGCTTCCCGGTGTTTGTGTACAAATTATATTACACGCGTTAAAGTCGAAGGTTACGAGGGGTTTAGATGTATTAAATTTCGCATCGTCTCGTGCAAGATTATTTCAACTTTGGTGTCGTCGGATTGGATAATCGAGATATTCGAAATGAATAGCATTCGCGGGTTCTGTTCTACCGTTACAAATTAGTGGTCGATCGAGAACATAAATGAACGCGAAGATGCTCGATAACTTACGAAAAGAAACCAGTCCCTTCTGTCAGAAGCCACGTGCGTCGGTCGGCGTCGTACACCGGCGAACACGTGGTGTCCCAGCCTCGATTCCGAGCGAGTACGACTTCACCGCTCTACAGATCTCCTTCTCGATCCCCTCTCCTCCTCGGTCATCTCTCGTCTCGTTCTTTCTCGCGCACTCCCCGTGAACGAAAACAGATCACTAGTTGCCTCTCGTATGTACCCTTTTCACCGAACTCGGACAGGAACGGAGGGAAAGAGCAAGATTAGCAAAGATTACCGAGATTTCGAGCAGCGGCGTTGCGCCGCGTGGTCTCGTGGCCTCGCGGTCGCGCGGTCGCGTGGTCGCGTGGTCGCGCGGTCGCGTGGTCGCGTGATCGCGAACCGATTTCCCGGGTGAATCGGGCCGGTAGCTGCCGAAAATAAATTGCTGTATGAGAGAACCGTGACACAATTAGCCGTCGTCTCCGGCCGGGGGGTGAGCCGGGATGATTTACGAGGCGAGCGGACACCGCAGACGGTCAATGACAGTGCATGCGCGATGCCACTGCGGACGAGGGAATCGTCTTAATTAGACGCGATTAAGCGAGACACGCGCTTTCCTCCCGTTTTCCGTCCAACTAACTCCGACAAACTCCAACTCGGTCTAATTCCGTCGAATTGTATGGTTCTGTACGTTCGAGCGATTCGATGGGCCAGGGGACCGACGACGGAGTTCAGACCGGCGGAGCTCCGGTTCCGCTGCGCCTACTTGTACGCTCGCTGACCATCGTGGCACTGAGCTCTCTTTCGAGCGACGAGCCATAGGGCTTCGAGTGCCAGAGCCAGGCCTGTTCGTCTCGCGTTCGCTGCCCCGCTCTTCCCTCGTTCTCTCTCGCTCGCTCCCACCCTCTCGACGACGGCAACCGTCGCGGCCTGACCAGACGCGCGGTCTCTTTTCCTCCATACCGGTATTTCTGCTCCACGTGTGTACACACGTGGTCGCGCGCACCGACGATATTCGCGCTGAATCTTCCGCACGGAGACTCTTCCGGCATCGTCGGTCTGGACGATTTAACCTCCTCGAGGCTGGATTCCGGTATACAGACCGATTTCCAAACGAGAAACATCTTGGCCGAACTGGAAGGAATTTCATCGCTTCGCCGGAACGGATTCGCGTTTTATCGGACAAACTCGATTCATTTTCGTCCGAGCAACGCACCATCGTCCCTTTACCGGCCCTTTATTTCTCCCACGACCGTCCAAGAAATTACGGCAAACGAGTGGTAATTGTCGAGCCGAATGAGAATCTCGCGAAAACATCGAGAATCCCTTCGACTCGTGGAGTCAGGCTGGGGACAGAAGTTTCGACGCGACGTAATTTCCCGAGGAAGGTATCGTTACGCGAGAACTCGCCGGTCCGTTGGAACTTTTAAGCGGGTACCGTCCGGTAATCGTCCCTTTTTCGAAACTTGGTCGTCGGGAAACTTCTAATGACTCGTAGCCAACTGTTTTCCTCGATCGAGGATATCTTTGTCGCCAGTTGAGAATCATCAACTATACAGACAACGTGTATTATTCGCAGTAACGACAATGAGAGGAACAAGTGCATCGCTAAATAAAAGAGAAAGAAAGCCGTTCGAAGGACGAATTTTCGCCTTACCGCGATTACCAATGATTTTCTCCGCAAAGGTCAACCCCTTTTGATCTCGATGCTTTCTACTTTCTGTTTTCTCTGTTCTCCGAATCGAAAGAAATCTATTCGTCGTCTATTTTGCAAGCGATACCAACGATGTTTCGGCTATCCGTCGTTACCCGATCGTTCGGACTACGAGCTCTTTCGCGAAGAGCGTAAACTCGAAGGTACCTCGGTAAAAAGGTGCCAGCGCAAAGGGACATAAAAAATGATTACAGTGGGAGAAATTCGTGTTGGATGCACCGAGAGTGTAGAGAGAAACTAATTCATTTCAGTTGGACTGTTAAGCGGCGTTCCCCGAGCACACCGTCTTTCCGAATCGATGCATCCGTTTCTACCTGGTAAATACAGAGGCTCGTTACCCGTGTTTACAGACTTTCTCCCATCGATCATGCGAACCAATCGCCGACGCATCGAAAAGAAGGCGAAGAAGAGTCTTCCGTGACTTGATTTTCGTAAATCGATCGGCAATTCGTTAGAGCTAGAGTCCGGTTCGGTCGGTTGCCGGATAACCGAGAGAAGAGAAAGAGTTGGTCGCGTCGCGGCGTGTTTGCGAGCAGCCCCGACTCCGACCGCTTAATTGGCAGCACGCTACACGTCGAGCATGGGTCGCGACACCTTCATTATCGTAAATCACAAGACTATTCGAATTCGGTTACGGTCGGCGATAGACGATAGGCGATAGGCGATAGACGATAGACGATAGACGATAGACGATAGACGATAGACGATAGACGATAGGCAACGCGTGTTCGTTGGTTCGAGTAGCCGTGTTTAATGGCTATTTATATCGACACGGACGAAGGCCAGCCTCGCATCGCACCTATCTGTTTTATCGTACGGCTGAATAAACGGCAAACCCCGGAACGCGAGTGAACGGTCGCGGTTCTGTTGCGCGGTTGGAATCGCGATCGCAGTTCGGTTCCGTATTTCGGAGATTTCCAGTTCGACTGCAGCTCGATTCGTCGAGTTGCTCGAGAACGATTCCTAGACTCCGATTCGATCGGTAGAACGATTACTCGCAAGTAATTGGCAGTGATCGCGAGTCGACGACCGAGACGCCGAAAACCGACAATTATTCAGGCTTTATCGAGCCATAAACGCGTAGGATCCGCAGACCGCTCATCGAATTCTTCGTTTGCCCATGAATCGCGAGTGGAGTGGAGTGGAGTGGAGTGGAGTGGACTCCCGGCAAGTGAATCACGCGCGAAAATATGCGACGAACAGGGCGGAGAACAGAGGAAGACTCGTCCCAGCTGGGCCGAGGATTCCTTCGGGCGAACGATTCCGTCGGATTTCACGCGAGAACTTTGATCCGTCTGGTATTCGCGTCTGTTCTCGTCTTTCGCGTCTTTCTCGTCTTTCGCGTCTTTCGCGTCTTTCGCGTCTTTCGCGTCTTTCGCATCTGTTGCGGCCACGATCGGCAACTGCAGGCACTTGAAAAATATTCCTGAAAAACGTCTCGCGCCCCCATCTCCTTTCTCCGTTCCCTCCGACGAATCGTCTCGTCGACGATTTAAAAGCCGATCGTTCCTAGCCGATTATGCGCAGCAGGCGCAGCGCACAATGGCGCGACGCACCGTGACGGGTCAAATATAAATGCAAATCGATAAATACTCGCATAATCTTAAAAGGCGGCGCGCCGTTACGAATGCCGCGAGTCGTCTTCTGCGATCGAACCTGAAAGAGGAACGGCCGTGAACCATCGCTATCCCGGAGTTTGCGTAGCCGTCTCGCTCGATGGACTTTTCGGATGCCTGGCTGCTGCGAGACCGACCAGCTCGTTGGAGATTCCATTTCTTTCGGGGAGGAAAAACTTCCGATCGGAGAACTCGAATTCATCCTTGATATCCGATCAACCTCCTCATTTATGGAGTACAATTTTCTTTCCGCGTCTTCTCTTGCGGAGATCGTTTCTGATTTTCCACTTCTCGACTAGGTAGCCGTCTGCTTTCTAATTATCCATATTACGCTCTTCGTTCCTTTCGAGTATCAATTTTTAGTTTTCGATTGGTCCGTGAAACGCACTCGGAGAACACGTTATAGTTGAAAAGCTGCAGAGAAATGCACTCTTCTCGGATTACAATTCTATTTTTTCGTGCGGAAGCTACATCTTGCGTTTCGGCGGGTGCATCGAAGCGCGCTCGAGTAAATATTTCCCGGGAACGTTTCGGAGTCGGTTCATGAAAAAAAGGAGGAAAAAGGAGGAAAAAGGAGGAAAAAGGAGGAAAAAGAGTGGAAAAAGGTGGGAAATGGCGGGAAAAAGAAAGGAAAAAGAGACGAGCGACAGCAGCCACGGTGGAGAAAACACAAACAATTCTCGCCGGTTGGAATCCATTTTTACAGCATCCTTGGAAAAACATCGATCGGAAATCGCGTGTCCGTTCCGTCGGGACATAGTCGGTCTCGGGCCGGCGCAGCTCGCATATGTAAAGAGGATACACGCGCGTGCATACATAGCAGGCCGCGGGGACGATCAGTCAGTCGGGCAACGTGCCGCGAGTTAGCGCCGTTAATGGAATTTCATTTGGCAGTTCCTTCACGGGCCGGCGTCAGATCGATCCCAAGGCGATCGTTGTTGTTTCGTCTGTTTTCCACGCAGAGACCGGCGTACAGAGACCGTCCGTGTCCTTCCGATTCGTCGTCGGACTACCAAACGCCGTCTCCTCCAATCCTGTCCGAACATTCCCAACCAACGCCTCGATCTTGCCGGTTGCTCGATGTTTCGCTGTTTTCTTTCCGCGTTCGGTGTCGCTCGATGCCACTCACTCTTTTAACAACCTATTCGCCACTCCATGGAACTCGTGAAAATGTCAGCATCCATACGCGTCGGCCGTAATGGCATACTCCTCCGTAAGGTTTACGGATTCCCGCCAAGAACGAACCTTCGAGAGCGATTTTTCCGATGAAAACCACTTTTGCCTTTTCCGCCATCCTCCCGTCGGAGGTTCGGCCGATCCGAGATTCTGGAACGCGACTGCAGAAAATATTGAAAACGGAAGCCCCGCGTCTGTCAACGGGACAAACGTGGCAGGGTTTCCTCGGAATATTTCAATTATTTCGGCAGAAGAACCACCGCGTCGTAAATCATTTCTGGAAAACTGGATCTCGAAGAAGCTCGTTAACGATACGCTTGGAACAAGCGTCCAGGAACGTTCTCCGTTCGCAGTTTTCTTTCTCGCGTTTGGAACGCGACCCCGGATTGACTTTCTACGGACTTTCTCCTCGCGAACTAGCCGCGGATTTTATTCTCCATCGATTCTGTGGATCTAAGAAACCCTTGATCGGATGAAATTATTTCTAGCCTACCGCGTATCCCCTTCTTCGAGGACCGACGACCAAGAATCCGTTGCCTGTTAGCGCGAGAAAAAGGTTCACTTTCCAAACGACAATAAGTTAAACGTTGAGTTATTCTTTCGAATGCCACGGGGAAACGTAACTTTATCACGGGAAATTCAAAGAAACACGATGTGGTCGACAAGACCCGAGGAGTTCCCAGACACAATGAGGAATGAAGATAATTAGTATCGGGAAGTGATACCGAAGAACCCTCTTAATGAGTCCGGCTTTTTACCGGGCTTCGCTGGAATCGATCGAGTCGATGGGAAAGGGAGATGAAATTGATGGGAACGTGTATTGCTCGAACGTGAATTAATTGATAGGAACGGTAGTATACAAAGAAGAGCGTAATGAAGTTATCGCGTTACCGGACCCAGCCTCTCGTACGTAATAGCCATGATTCATCGGCAAGAATTGTGAATAATCTTCGGTTCGATCGTTCCATCGATCTTCACGAATTCTAATTAAACGAACGAATCGATGGTCAAGGAAAATTTCCGAAATCTTCTATTTTCTCCGTTTTCGGATTTTTTCTTGACCTCGTAGCAATGACAGATCTTCGTTATCTTAGTTATTCGTTCTGTTCGATATGAAATTCAACGGCATTCGTAGGTTTGAATCGCGCGAGAATAGGAGAGGTCCTTACTATTTACGCTGACGAGACACGCTGTGTATGTTCCTCGTCATTATCATCGGCATTATCATCGGCATTATTGGCTAGGAACGGTATCATTGATAAATCGTAGCTCGTCGGTACCGCAACA